GAATTCACCTTGGACCGGGTGGATTCCGTAAGCTTTCCTACCAGCATTTAATTCATTGCAACACATTTTCCCGCCTCCAAACTAGAAAGTATGTCAAATAAATGGAACTGAAAACGGGTTGGCATTCCCACGCACAAATGACGCCCTGCTTGCTGTTCCATCAAAAGGGTATGTGCCCGATTTTAAAACAAAGATGATGTGTTTCACGTTAAGTATGTGCCCAACATAGCCCTCTCCGTTTAGCGAGTAACAACCTGATATAAAAGGTATCCACACTACCATTGGTTCGACAGTCCGGGAATTTGTGCAACAGTCCCGTATGTCATTAACAGAAAAAATGTCCCGCTCATAAGGAGAATCATTGGGAGTGAAGAACTAACCAGAAATATTTTGTTCTCGTTAGTGTTTTCTATCTGCATTTAGATGTGGTTCAGACCTTTTAACAAGACCGGTAAGGATAAGAAACGAAATGAAAAAGCGTACCATGTCGGTTGTCTGTCATTCCATTTCACTTTCTATAACGGAAAATTGCTGTGTATAGTCAAAAGATCTGGGGCGGTGATTCTTTCTCGCCTGAACAACAACAACGACGACAAAGCGGCCTCGTCGTCTCACTTTTGGGTACATTGGGTGCACTATGAAAGTTCGAGCAAGTCAAACACGTTTTGGTCTCCCTGTCCCTCCCACACAAACAAATGCCATATTGGTATAGTTTCGACTTAGTTCCAAGGATTCGATATGTTCAGCTCGTGAAAAATAATTATTATTATTATTGGAACAAGACAAGCATACGCTCGTACCAGATGGGGGGAAATCAAAAAGTAGTTATTCATGGCAGAAAATAGTAAAACAAACTTTCATTAATTAGACAGACAGTAGCGGATGAACTGCAAAACTCACATGTTACGCATTCCTTCACCGACGCTGCTTGAGACAAGAACCTCCGCCAGACCTTTGATTCGATACTGTTGAATCAGTTCGCTCAGTTTTGCCTTAGCAGTATTAGCGTCTTCTCGACGTTCGAGTATATCGCCCTCGAGAATAGCCGCGATCAACGTTAACCCTATGAAAGAGAGCGATGAACAATCGAGGAAACAGAAATCCAGGAAAATGCAAACGCAAACCGTTCAGATCGAAATATGTCTGTTGTAGGCAATGAGAACAATCCGAACAACTAGTAGTGTCGTCAGATTTAACCGTGTACTAAACGAACATTCTCTGACAAATGACCAAGTGACCAAGTCAGTCTCATGAGTAGATAACAAGCACTGTCGTGCGATTCAACAAGAAATGCAATGAAGAAAGGGGACAGTTTCCGTTAGACAATGCTAGTCCTACTGCATTCATTTCCGTCAGTAAACACAGCTTGTTTTGGCACATGCACACATTCATATAAAAGAGAGATCAAGGTCTGTTTCAGAGTAGCATAGATCTGTGTGAACAGAAATTACTTAGTTAACGAAATAGATTGCTCTGTCAAACATGGCTCTGGTTATTCACCGATAAACAGGCTTTCTATTGAGATGAATTGTTTTGAATGAGAAAAATGTAGGACACGCAAAACACCAACAAAAACTTACCATGTCCGGCCTTTAGTTGGTAAGCCAAATCTAACAGACGATCATGAAGAACTTGGAGCTCGTTATCTAGCTGTATGTAGACTAAAATCTGCGGACGCCAGTTCTTTGCGTGAATTGGTTTAGTACCCAGTTTGAGTATGGCCCGTTTTGCAGTGGACATTTGTAAACCACGAGTAGCATCACCCCATTCCTTAGAAGCACTGGGGACGAAGGAAGAAAAGTGAACAAACAAGGGGTCAAAAAGTAATTTTCATCCACATGGGTTGAAAGTTGCTCTTAGTTGTTATTAGAAATCCGAAGTGTGCATGGGGAGGGGCAGAGAATTCCTATTGTGCCACAAAGCATTCGCAGACCCCGACCGCTTTGTTGAGCAAAAGGGACATGAACTCTCGTATCATCAAAGGACTATAGATGATGATGAACCAGAAAGAAAGATAGAATTTTCAGTAACCGACAAATTTGAAACAGTTCTCATTCCAAAAACAAAGCACAATTCGACCTATTAAATAAAAAACAACACTCAATGAATTCAAAAAGCATTTGGTAATTAAAAAATGAACCAATATAACATTGTGACCCTGAAACACGCTAGCAGACCAAGGATAATTGGTCAGGCTGAAAATGGTTGCTTGGAAAAAAAACACTGAATAACTAGGAGATCACTAAAACCTGTTCGCTAGAACCTTGATGACATTATACTAAGGAGTGTGAAAACACGAATAATTGGAGTATTCAGTATGGTAAATTGTGATGCCTATGATGTTTTACCGACCCTAGACACTAAAAAACCGGAAATATCTAAAGCATGTCGTGATGGTAGTTCAACCGTTGCTGAACAGGTAAGTATCGATAACCGGAGGAGATATGTTCCAAACCCTGAAGGAAAGTCCATGTTTACGAGGGAGGTTATCTCGAAGAACATAAGTTCAGTCACGTCAGCTGCTAATCGACAATCGATGTTAACTTAGTTCGGTGCCTGCCTTGAACTGAGCAACCTGGAAGCAGTCCGGTCACATACAAATCATGAAACTATTTTTATTTTATAAAGATTACTGTACTATAATTTGTTTCACACAGCCTGGCCTCAAACGTCATATATATATATATATATAGTGTGTAATGGTAGTATAAATATAATAGGGAGTTTGTCAGAAGCGTAAACGATTATGCACCCCCTCCCCCCATTACCCAGAGTAATACAGACTTGAACCCCGCAGAATGAATCCACTATTGATGATCACCAAATTAGGAACAACCACACATCAAATTCGGCAAACCCGGGGATAAACATTCGAGACTCGGGGGTTACCAGCGCCCAGTTGCATGCTTTCAAACTCAATCGAAAAGTAATGTTTCATCGGAACAAATGAAGTAAAATCATTCAGTGGTTCGTGCGTTAGGTCCAATTTCCCACATCAAATAGTGATTCGGGTACGAGGTTAAGAAACGTACGAAATTGTAGGAAAAGGGAAAAAGTGCTACATAACCATGATTATGAAAGCCAAACTAATCTGAATGACCGCCGGTGTCGAGATTAAATCGATAAAAAGAGCAAATCATCAAAAAGCGGAGGCATGTAGTGGGAAGGGTATGAGATATCTGTAACACTAATAACGTGAAATCAAAACGTGCATAAATGAATGAACAGTGTTTCAAAAATCACGGACACACGCGTGCTTCCATGTTTGAAGGAAGCCGTTAAACCAAACCGCACGGGTTGTGCACGCCTAAAAACAATCACAGCCCCGAATGGGTCAAAAGTTTAAGTTAAAAACAGTCGGAGAATTACGCACATAAATTATCCTCAAAAATTCTGTGAACCGAAATTTTTCTTTGAACGGAGGGGGGAATGAAACAAAGTCTGAACAAAACAGGGAGCAACAATGATTAACAGGAAAGAAAAAACACGTAAACTAATCAACAGATCACGAGTGATGATACGCGATCACAATTTGTTCTGACTGGGACACACAAAATTCAATGAAAGCAGTGTGGAACAACAGCAGCATAAGATAAGCGATTGATTTTGTTCGATAGCAAGAAGTAGCAAGCCAAACAAAACGAATAGTAACAAACAACTAATGAAGCATCTGAAATGTGTAGTCTGAGGTGGAATTAGTGAGGTATCAATTCCAAAGGTTTCCAAAACAAAATTCTGATGGGAGACACAAAGCGTATGAAAAAATCTCAGTAAGGGGTAAATTGAGGTCAATCGAGTAGTGCGTAACTGGCAATTCATGGGGGCATGTCCCGGTTTTCAATGTTTGGAGTCAGCCGATTTCTTTGCTGTATCATTCAGCTGCAATCAAGTTTCGTTGTGGTTCGCTTATTTGAAGATAACAAAAAGTACACCCGTATGCAGTATCATTTAGGAACACAATGACAGATAGGTGACCGGTCATATGCATCGCAACTGGAATGATGCTAAAACATACACATACACACACAAACAAGCATAAGTGCAGAGGAAAGCAATCCCATATCGAACGGAGTATTTAATGGGTTGATTTTACTAAGCAAAACGCTTCCGCATTCATTAGTTAGGAGCATTTCTGTGATGGTACAGGGTGCACCGTACCCGATCAGCTCAAACTCGGTATTGGCCGCACACTTGTGGAGCATATAGGAATGCAAATCAGGATGAAAATGGTCTCAAACACTTTGTGAGAATGAAATCGTTTTTATTGTGAAAATCAGTCATAGCGATTCAAGATCTACTACGGATGTCGCAAGTGACGCATTTACATCATGTCTGATTTACCATGATGTTAATCATCATGGTAAATCAGACATGACAGCTTGTTTGTATTAGGGCAAAAAAAATGGGCTGGGCAATCTGAAAACAGGGCGACCAGAACAGAGTCGAAACATGGATCTGCGTCTCAAGTGGTCAGCTTTGACACGAACTACCATCTTTCGCCTGAAGAAGATCCGGGTCTAATTGCCGTCAAGGGTCAGTGTCATTTAGGTGAACGGAACACAAGTTCACACCAATGATGCGCAATTTCACCATTTAATTTAATTAGACAGAGTAGTTCACATGTATGCAGACCTACGGAATTTATCGCAACTATGGATTGAAGTATGTCCCTTAAAAAACCCGGGCTGAGAACATCCTATGGGGTTTTCTATCAGACCACCTGATCACCATTAGCAACTAGCGTTTGATGATTTCGCTAGTCGGTGGATTCGCACTACTTATAAAACGAAACAAAGTTGAAATGACTAACTGTCAGCGCTTGTTAGTTTTCCAGGTCACTTTTTCCTCTTCACACGATGACATTAGTCGTCCAGTCGAATTGGATCCTCTACTATTCATTTATAACCAGCAATCATGTTCGGAACGTTTCCAAGAGATTAGTGCTAAGAAGGAAGAACATCCAAACAGAATACACCTATAATAAAAATGTAAGAATGTACGACATCCTTCGATTTGTTAATCAAGTTTACTTCATGCCGATGTTACATAACATGTCGACATTTGTGCCGGAACTCATCACGCCTCTTGATATCAGCTGCAAGTTAAGTTTGCACCCTGAATATATATATATATATATATATATATATATATCGCCTCCAGTATCTAATACTGCTTAAATCAAGTGAGAGAAATTTCAAGCATTTGGCATGTGACTGAATGATAAGCGGAAACAGATTCTATTAAAAAAGAAACCATCTTTGGCACGAAAGGCTTGCATCATATCTAATTGTGAGAACAAGCAGGAAGGTTCGTGAAAGAGTGAAGAAATCAGCTTTCAGTCAAGCATTATACTAGTAGAGTATTCGCTGTACAATGGGTGAATGGAAAAATAAAGTTTCAGCTTCACTTCCGGTTTGGCTCAGGCGAACGAACAAAAACCTCAATTCCCAAGACCAGACTCGATCCGATGAGAACACTACCTAGAAAGGGGTGTACAGTGAACACTATTTCATTACTAGCGGAAACTACAC